GGTTGGAAAGGGGCAGTAGGTTTGCCATTAAATAGAATCTGCATGCTGCTTGCTGAGATACATTGCATTATCAGATTGGTGATTCGCGACGGGAACCCTGCGTCATCTAAAGTGTCTTTGATAAAGCTCCAACTTAGTTTGTCAAAGGCCTTTTCAAGGTCCACCTTTATTGCAAGCCACCCTTTTTTCCCCTGCTTCCTTTTCATCGAGTGTACTACTTCCTGGGCTATGATTATACTATCAGTGATGCTTCTCCCCTTGATGAAGCTAGACTGGTAAGATAGTATAAGATGCGGCATCAGGGGTTTCAGACGATTGGCAATGATTTTGGTGATAAGCTTATAAGCCACAGAACATAGGCTAACGGGCCGGAAGTCTTTGACTGATGTTGGGCATGGGACTTTAGGTATGAGGGTGATCAAAGTGTTATTTATGGTTGGATCGATAGCTTCTCCATTGAAGAGGGAAGAAATCATAGTGAAGAGAGATTTTCCCACTATGTTCCATTGACTTTGGAAAAAGAGGGCATGGAGTCCATCCGGGCCAGGAGCCTTTAAGGGTTTCATATCAAACAGAGCACGTTTAGTCTCATCAAGGGTGACTTCCGCGTTCAGGGCGTCTAGCTGAGGGGAGGAGAGAGGGGGAAACATACCTCTATGTCTGTATGGTTCAGGTGGTGCTTGAGGGGAGGAGTAGAGAGTAACGAAATATTCCCTGATCAAATGACTTAGTTCGGCCTCATCTGTGATCCAAGCCCCTATATCATTTTTAAGAGCTGCAATTTTACTTTTGGAACGCCGGATTCTGGCTTTAGTATGATAGAAAGAGGTATTACGATCTCCCAAGTTCAACCAGTCAGAGCGGGATTTCTGAGCCCAAAGCAACTCTTCTTGCAAGCAAACATTTTCGTATTCAGCGCATAGGTCACGATTAAGTGAGTGTAGGAAAGCAGAAAGGGGCCTGTCCTCTAAGGCTTTTTGGGCACCCACAATTCGTGAGTGTAGGCTTCTCTTTCTCTTACCAATTGCGCCAAAAGTTTCTCGGTTCCAAATTGTTGCTGCTGTTATGAAATTCGTGATGTTGGCACTTATCGGCATGTCATCTCTCCAGGTATCCTTGACGAGTTGAGGAAATTCAGAGTGAGTAAGCCACGGGGCTAGGAATTTGAAGGCCTGGGTACCCCGACCCTCATTTGGACTTAGGCCCCTTTTGATTTTAATCGGGCAGTGGTCCGAACAGATTCTAGGCAGATGGATAATTGTGGTAGTTAAGAAGCTGTCTACCCACAATTTATTAAAGAGGACACGATCCAGGCGAGCGTAGGATAAACCTCTCCTCCAGGTAAATCTAGGTCCAGAGAAGCCCAGATCAATGAGGGAGCAGCTATCAACGAAATGATTGAAGTTTGGGCACCCACGTCTAAAAGAACCAGTGCTCGATCTCCGTTCTGTGGCCGTGAGGACTGAGTTAAAGTCACCAGCAAGAGCCCAAGGTTCTTGAGCGTCTTGAGCTAATCGAAGAAGCTCTGGCCATAATTGATTGCGAATGGTTGTTGAAGGGCTTGCATAGATTGCTGTGAAAAGGATAGTTTGGTTGGTCTGGGGAAAATGAATTCTGGTGTGTATGAATTGCCAGTGATTGGCTAAGATTTCTAGATGGATGGTGTCAGTCCAAAGGATCTAGATACCGCCAGAGAAGCCGCAAGCCTCAACCCGATGGGAGTTAGGAAAGCCAGTTTTCTTAATCACTCTATCTGCTGTGCTGCCTGATATTCTCGGTTCAGTGAGAATGAGGATTTCCGGTTTATGTTCTTTAATCAAGGATTTAAGCACTGAGTGGAAACCACTCTTCGCTGCACCTTGGCAATTCCAAATAATTGCAACCATGAGGAAGAGGAGACAGAAGTTATTGCTCCAATCCGGAGCAGCTATGAACGGCGTCATCATCCATGTTGTCATCCGAGAGGTCTGAGTCGTGCTCAAGAGCTTTGGTGATGGTCTTTAGGACTTCATCGGCCAATGTTGGTGGGTTTTCCTTGGGTTTGAGTTTGGTGGAACCAATTTGGAGGCCCAAGTTGATTTTAACGCCAGGGTGGGATGAAGGTTTATCCGGTGGTTTGGGCATGATGTTTTCCTTGTTTTCCTCTGGGTTTTGGGTCGGTTTAGGATTGGGCCTAGGCTGGTTGGTGGACTTGGGGTTGTCATTGGCTTTCAAGGGGGTTTTGGGGTTAGGGACTAGGACGGCTGAGTGATTGGTATTATTAAGTGGGGTGTTCGAGGTGGATGCTTTGTAAGCTTTGGAGGCAAAAAGGGAGTCAGTAGATGGGCAGAGATAGGCTTTTTCTGGTTTTTTGGCTGTGGAGGGGGCTTTTTCGAAACTTCTTTCTTAGGCTTCGAGTTTGTGGCTAGGGGAAGCTGGGTTTTCGGTGGTTGGGTAGCAGGGATGGGGGTCTGGGAATTGACGTTTTCTGTAGATGGGGGCGGAACGTCTGGTTGGTCCTCTGGGAAAGTCTCCTGATGCCTCAAAAGGTCAAATCGAGAACCACTGGTAGCGTGTTTTGGATGGTTTGGTTCTGACATCTTTTTGTTTTCTCTGGAAAAACGCCTTCTTGAGGATGGTGCCAACATCCAAGCTCCATAGGGATTCGAGTCTCTTACCTCATCGGCGGTGGGGGCTTTCGCTATCGTCGCTGGATTTTCCGTTGAAGCTCCTGTCGGGGTCTCATCCATCTGTGTTTGTTTCAACGGGCATGAATCGGTAATGTGCCCATATCTCCCGCAATGATAGCAAATGGTGGGGAGGCCCTCATATTCCACCAGGAGAGCTTTGCCATCAACAATAATCTTGGAGGTAAGGGGATTAGATAAATCCAGAATAATGGCCATTCTAGCGAATTTACCTCTTTCCCCTGATTCAGTGTTGTAGTCTATGCGGATTACTCTGCCCAGGATCTTCCCAATAGCTCTGATTATGTTCTTCTTGTAATACTATGTTGGTAGACCGGGAATGCGAATCCAAGCCACCACGTGAGAAATAGCATGGTTGGTCGGCGAAAAGTCTGGTGTCCATGGATGTACCGTAAGGTAATGACCTGCGATAACCCAAGGACCATCCGTGAGGACAGCACGATAGTCTTCTTCATTTGAGAATGTTGCAATAAAGCACCCTCCTTCCAGGTCTGTGAGCTTGTAAGGACTTGCAAAGGCCCACAGCGCTAGCAGATGATCACAGAGCTTCCTGTATCCAATGGGTCGCCCCAGCAACTTGAGCACCACTGAGAATTTCATGCTTTCCTCGAGTGCTTTATGGATTCGAGGGGAGAATGTTATGGAGGGGAAGATGCCCTCTCTTCCTATACTTACGTCCTCTTCATCCAGAACGAAATCATCCTCACTCTCCTGGATTCTATCTCTATTGAGAAGTTTGTCAAGGAAGGAGGCTTGACAGTTTTGCTCCTGCATTGTAGTCTGTTCTGTAGCCTCTGGAAGGTTGAGTGACTGCTGGGAGATTACTATTGCTTCCTCCATGCTAGTTTCCCCTTTCGGAGAGTTGTGGTCATCAGTGACCATCGCTTCTGCATGCTCGATGCTGTTTTCCGATCGTATTTTGACCTTCTTAGTGGAGCGGTTATCATCGGGATGAATTGGAGCTTCATCCTTTTCCACCAGGGCGAGCGAGAGAGAGCGTTCCATCCTTCGTTCAGAACTCGATACTTCTCTTCGTCCTTTTTTCAAATCCTCTGTCCTTCTTAACTTTTTTCCTCCGACTCCATCCCCACCAGATGCAGAGCGGCCTTCTTTCATCTTTCCTTTCCTTCTTTCGCCCAGCAGAAAATAAAAATAGCAAACCACACATAAATTTCAGAATGTAGAGAAGATAAATTTTCCCTCATGATTTTAGATCTGAAATAGGAACAATCAGATTCAAGAACTTGAAAGAGGGAAAAGGAGGATCGGAGGAGATAGGGCCGGGGGAGCGACGGTGGGAGGAGTTGGAGGGTGAAATGCAGGTGACGCAGAGGTAGGGGAGGGAGGCAAGATGAGAGAGGATGAATCAAGAGTGAGGGAGATGAAGAAATAGAAGCAGAAAAACGCAGCAAAGAGGAAAAAGTAAAAGAAAGAGAAAGTTAGAGAAAAAAGATGAAGAGAAGGGTTACGATTAAGAAGATGGGCGCAGGTCTTTTTTTTAAAAATGACAGATAAGATAACACGTCAGATTAGACTTGTTGATATGGTGTATTTTGATTGGTTAGAGTATAAATGATTTGGTGCTCTCGGAGCACGCAAGAATTCCTCATGCTTTGTACCACACGGAACCCGTGGGTTTCAGTTTTCATGCTGTCCATTATGATGCCTGGCATTTGATATCTCTTACTTTATGTGCTGTGTAAGAGCTATGCAGGAGAAACTTACTCTTCTTTACTTATATATGCCGAGAACGTCATTTTTTTTTTCAAAGAGAGGATTTGAATTTGCAAACTCATGCATGTCTAAGAAAATCTTAAGAGCTCACAGATTCAAACTTGTCTCGTGTGTGAATGGGTTTATATGTGTTAAAATAGTTATGTGAAAAAAGAGTAAAAGTATTAATATATTTCTATAAATATTGCGTGAGTTCAAAGACTCCTAATTTTTTGTTTATAAAAAAATTTAATTTACCCAAAATATGAAAGACCTCCACTAGCCTGAGCTTGGTCCACATAATAAAATTGCAAATCAGTTTTTTATAGTGATAAATATAAAAACTAGTTAACTAATTTAAAAAAAATTAAAAAATAGTTAAATTAATTATTTTCTATTATTATGTATTCTAAAATAAAGTTAGTTTTAATTATTTACATTTCGAATCACTTATATTAATTTTATACAACCATATATGTTCTATTGATAAAATGGCTTGAGAAAAAGAATAATGCATATGAGAAGCCTTAATTCTTAGTTTTGCGGGGAAGGGAAAAAAGGGGGGAAAGTCTCGCTTCTCGGTTGACGGCTCGACGCCATCCCATCTTCCACCCAATTCCCTACTCCCTACAGTGAACAGGCATACCTCTTTCCTTCTCGCCCCTTACTTCCTCTCCCTCAACAGCAGCACCTGCAATTTTCTAAATAAGATACTTGACGCATAGATTTGCACTTTGCAAGCTGCGGAACAAGAGAGTTCGGCCCCCCTCTTCTTCGGTTTTAATGAGCACAGGATTTTCGGACCACACATCGAGGTATGGGTTTTCTTGCAATTTCACAAAGAAGTTACTGACTTTAACACTTTTAATGCGTGGCCTGTACAATTTCGTGCCTGTGGATGTTTTGGTGCTGTTTTTTCTTTTATTTTTAAATTTTAGGGAGTTCTTTGGGGTGTGCTTGTTCTGGATTTACTGGCCCATCTCCTTTTATGCAGCGTCTCCCTACTCTGACGGAATCTTCCGTACTTTGACTTTCTATTGTTGATTTGAGCGTAACTTCCTTTCCTCCTGGAATAGCTTTTGGAGGTTTAACTGGCTATTTGGGAACGTCTAGACGGTGTTTGATGGAATACCTGATAGAATTCTCCCCTCATTTTTCCTTCTGGGTTCAAATGGAGTATTTGATAGGATAAGGTGTTCAATAGGTACGTGTTATATTGAGCAATGTTGACTTTAAGTTGACCTCATTATATTCATAGAGGACAGTTAATTGAAGATTAATAAACTAAACTATCAAGGGTTAGAAACAATTTGCAATCTAATTATAGCTGTGTTGCTTGTGACGTCTATGCCTTGGCTGAAATAAACCTTTCTGATTAATATATATTCACCACCCCAAACTAACGCGCGCACAAAAGTTATTAGTTGCATATTTGATTAAGGAACTATCAGTTATTTTGCAGGTGATTTGTCATGAAAGAGCCTCTTTGTTTTGATTCGTGTGCGCATGGTAGAGAAGTGCCGAATTATTGTTCAGAAAGTCTCAATTTTTCTAATGGGTGCTCCTTTTGCACATGAAGAGACATATAATCTCCTCTTCACTCCATTATCTAAAAATCATTGATTTCCATCCACTTTCGGGTTTTGATCCAACATATTTTATATGTCGAAGATGGCTGAGTGGGAGAGTCTCTCCTGTATGTTTAGCCAATACCAGACCTTTTCCTGATTATTCCCCAAAGAGGTCTGCTATTAAAGACACTGAACTTGTGCATCAAATCACCACGACAATAAAGCTTCGCCGCTCTGAGCCTCTTCGCCGCATTCTAAAACCTTATGAATCCAAATTCAAACCTGATCATCTAATATGGGTTCTTATGGACATAAAGAATGACTATAAACTGGTTTTAGATTTCTTTAACTGGGCACGTCTGCGCAGAGACCCAACATTGGAGGCCCTTTGTATTGTACTTCATATTTCTGTGACATCAAAGGACTTAAAAATGGCACACAGGCTGGTTCATGATTTCTGGGCAAAGCCCAATCTGGATGTTGATCATTCTTTTGCAAACTTTACAGAGCGGTTGATATATACCTACAAGGACTGGGGTTCAGATCCTCATGTATTTGATATATTCTTCCAAGTCCTAGTTGAAGGTGGGATGCTCTTGGAAGCCAAAAAACTGTTTGATAAATTGTTAAATTATGGTCTGCTGGTCTCTGTAGATTCTTGTAATCTGTTTCTAGCTAGGCTATCGAACAATTTTCATGGAATAAAGATGGCATTGAAGCTATTTAATGAGTATGCTGCAGTGGGTGTTTCTTGGAACACCACATCATATAATATTATTCTTCATTGTCTATGTCAATTGGGTATGATCAAAGAAGCGCACCTTTTGCTCATACAAATGGAATTTAAAGGCCATATGCCTGACATTATAAGTTATAGCACTGTGATTAGTGGATACTGTCAAATTGGACTGCTAGAGAAAGTTGTGAAGCTTGTAGAAGAATTGCAGAGAAAGGGAATTAAACCCAATGAATATACCTACAATGATGTAATTCTTCTTTTCCATAAGACTGGTAAAGCAGTTGAAGCTGACAAAGTCTTGTGGGAAATGACAAGCCAGGGGATATATCCTGATCATGTGATTTACACAACCATCATAAGTGGTTTCTGCAAGTCTGGCAATATCTCAGCCGCATACAAGTTCTTTGATGAAATGCAAGGTAAGAAAATAATTCCTGATTTTGTGACATATACTGCTATGATTCATGGACTTTGTCAAAATGGAAAAATGGTGGAAGCTCACGATCTTTTCAGTCAAATGCTCAGTAAAGGGTTTGACGCAGATGAGGTTACTTATACAGCAATCATTGATGGGTATTGCAAGGCAGGGGAAATAAAAGAAGCCTTTTCCTTACACAACCAGATGGTTCAGGAAGGTTTGACTCCAAATATTTTCACTTATACTGCCCTAGTTGATGGGCTCTGTAAACGTGGAGAGGTAGATATAGCAAATGAACTTCTTCTTGAGATAGCTGGAAAGGGCCTACAACCAAATGTTTGCACTTACAATGCTCTCATCAATGGCCTTTGTAAGATAGGAAATATAGAGCAAGCAGTAAAATTGATGGGAGAAATGGAACTCGCTGAAATTTATCCTGATCCTGTTACTTACACGACTCTTATGGATGCTTATTGTAAGCTTGGGGAAATGGCCAAAGCTCACGAGCTGCTGCGCAAGATGCTCGATAAAGGACTTCAGCCTACAGTTGTTACATTCAATGTGCTAATGAATGGGTTTTGCATATCAGGAATGTTGGAAGATGGTGAAAGACTAATTAAATGGATGTTAGATAAGGGCATAACACCGAATGCAACAACTTTCAATTCTCTTCTGAAGCAGTATTGCATTAGAAATGACATTCATGCCGCCACAAAAGTTTTCAAGGGAATGCATGACGAGGGAGTGGTGGCCGATAGTAACACATACAATATCTTGATAAGAGGGCATTGTAAAGCTAGGAATATGAAAGAGGCATGGTTTTTGCATAAAGGAATGATTGAAAAAGGATTTGATCTCACAGCCTCTTCTTATAATGCCCTTATAAAGGGGTTCTTTAAGAGGAAGAAATTTGTGGAGGCGAGGCAATTCTTTGATGAGATGAGAGCAAAAGGATTGGTAGCAGAGAAAGAGATATATGATATATTTGTTGATGTAAATTATGAAGAAGGGAATTTGGAAATTACCCTTGAGCTTTGTGATGAAGCAATAGAAAACTGTCTTGTTGGTAAGCTTGTGAAAGGGAACTCATAAGTGAATTTTTTGTGCGTTTTAATTGCTTGTGTGATTGATCTGCTTCTTTGCCTTGGTGGCTGATTTGAAATTCATTTGAACCTCAGAACATCTATGATTCAAATCATAAGGCAAGTAGTTTTTGAAACTTTCATGTGCTCTGCAGAGACTGAAGTAGATTTCTCATAAACACATGCAAATACAGAAAGAAGGCCCTCGTGTTCAGCTGCACACTTACCGGCAGAGAGAATTGGATTGTGCAAAACGGATGTGCTGTGTGGCGTTCATGAAAGGAACAATTACAAAGGAGAAGTCTCAAATTGAAGCTGGTTAAAGGTGTTGTAATCAATGAGAGAGATCATGATTAATACAATTTTTTCCCAAATTTGTAAATTCCTTTTTCTAAACATGTAGCCCAAGCTTATATTTTGGTCAACTTGCATGAATCGTTGCAGCTATTAATTTTATCATTTGGTGTCAATAATGATTGGTTTTCGATTGGCTGTTGACATTTTATGGAGGTGAATAGAAACTTAGAAAGAAATGAAGGAAAAAATAGTTGTAGCCCCTATATATATATATATATATATATATATATATATATATTAATTGTCATATGAAAGCATAGTGACTGGCTTTATTTTTAAATACGATTAGATGAAATAATTTAAAAACAAAATTAAATTAATTGGTCGTATGATCAATTAAAAGTAAAATGTTAGAATTATTTAATTATAAAATTTTAATGACTTCAGTTAGAGCCCTGAATTTATAAGTGGGATTCAATCTCTCTACACGCCTAACTCTAATGCTCCCTCCGGTGCTTTTTATAAAGTGCTGATATTTGGTTTACAAAAATAATTAAAATTAGTTAAAAATAAAAAATATGTAAGAAATAATTTTTTTCCTAAACATACCCTTATTTATAAACGGTAAAGAGAGAGAAAATATGAAAGAGAATATATTATGATAACTTGTCAACTTTCAAATTAATGTACTCCTCTAGTTTTTAATATAGAACTCAATTGTTGAGTTAGTTTTGGTCCTAAATATAAGACTCATTTTTCATATTTATCAATTTTCTCTAAAATTACCTCTATGGATACTCCCTCAACCATAATCAAGTAGAAGAGGAAGATGGGGTATTAAAAAAGATGATTATGATATTTTAGGAAAAACATGTCACATTTCTTATAATTAATTAACTTACCTAACTTCCTTAATCTAATCAAATTAGTTATATGGGTCTTATATCAAAGACAGGAGGAGTAACATGTAAAATTACTTAGGGACAAAAATAATAAAAACGTATTAAATGTTAGACACCACAAGTGAAATCTTGTAAAAAGGATAAAGGCGGTTCAAATTTCAAGTTCTTATTATAAAAAAGATCAGAGGAGTATAAGATTACTTGGAGTCATTAAATCTCAACCAATTGATATCAGTTCAATTTCTCCAACAGCAGGCGAACTAAACTAGCCGAAGTAAATCTGAAACAACAAATAGTCAAATACCAAACAATTTCTCGATTTATCAATGAAACTCCTGAAATAAATCAATTTAAATATAAATAGACGTCTATAATCATGATTTACTTTAATCAAGCTAGGGATTTAATTTATTATTTGCAGCCCTGAGGTCTAAACCCAATCCTTTCACCATCAACATCGTACACTATCTCCAGTGTTTTTTGCTGTGTATTGCCAATAACAACCACGTCAGCGCCATCATCCTTAATCGCAGTGAACCCTAAACAAACCTGTTCTTTGCTCACTACGTACAGAATCCCTGTTGAGTCCAACGTCACGTTCACCCCACCTCCGAACGACAATGAAACCTTCGGGAACTGAACAACCTCGTACCCACGAAGATTGTAGCACGTGTCCAGTATGTCAAACGGCTCCGCCTTCGGGTACCTCGACATCTGCCTCTGGAACTCATCTCTCAAGGCACCGTACGCCGCCGGAGGGAGCCAGCTGACTTCACTACCAGAGTCAATGACCGTGCCGAAGGAGGCAGAGACGGGGATATTGACGCCAGCGACGGTTATTCCGACGAAGTCAAGGCCGTATAAGGAGGAGTTCTTCAAGGTGGAAGAGAACGGAATGTATTTGACGTTGCCGTAGGAGTATCTGGGACTGTGGCCGAAGTTGAGGTAGCCGACGGCGCTGGGGGTGGAAGGGAGGCAGTAGGAAAAGATTCTTTGATACTTTCCGGCGGTTTGGTGGACGAAGGAGAGAGGATCGCGACCGAGGCCGAGCAATCCCGCCGTGCCGTTGAAGAGACCTGTGTTGTTCTGGCCGCAGCCAAAGAGGAAGCCGTCGAAGACATCGGTGGGAGAAACAGTTAGTTTATCCTTAGAGAAGTAGCCAGTAGAGGTGGATTCGTCAGCATATTGAAGACCGTACATGCAATTCATTGTTGACGCGTTACATAACGGGAAAAATCCTGAAGATATGAGTAACAAAAGAATGTATAATTAAATGAATAAGAGAAGAGAGAAATGCGATGTTGATATATATATACATAATGAGATTGGAAGATAATACACTAATACAATACCTGTGGCAGAGAAAAGCTGGGAACACTGAGAAGAAGAGCAAGGGACGTTGGAGTAAGAAGAAGATTGAGAAGGGTCGAAGATTGGTTCCTTCTGGTGGTAGCAAGAGTCACAGGGCTTACATTGAGTCCAAGTGAGGTCACTGCCTGTGTCAAAATCGAGAGACAGGTACCTGGCGGGGCTTCCCAGCCCCACCGTGACGAAGTAGTTGCCGGTTCCAAGAAGGACGCCGGACTTGGCCGGAAGCTGAATCCGGTCCAGCCCCTTTGAACTCATCTCTTGGTTTTGTGATGTCTTAAAAAGCTTGGAGTGGACTGACCTCACCCTCGCTTCGTCTCGCTTCAGGATTTCACTGTGTGGTAAAATGAATGAAGATGAAGATGATAAAGATGATGTGTGTCGCTTTGGTTTTGAACATGGCCCATGCTTGTGTACCACTGCCAAAGATCCTCCATGCCTGTTTGAACCTGTTAATCGTATATATATGTAAACTGAATGTACTCAAGTGGATTCTATCCTCTCATTGTCCAGTTGAAATAGGCAGGGAAATAAGGACGTTATAAGAACGCATATGGTGATCAAAAAGAGAAATGGAAGAGAAGGAACCTTGAGGAAGAGAGCTGCAAGAAGAGGAAGATGTGAGGGAACTGAGAAGAACACGATGATGATGAGTATGCTGAAGCCCGCTGGTTTCTTTTCTTGTTAATGCAGAAACATAGGGTCTGTTCTTGTCAATGAAGAAGAAGAAGCAAACCAGAGAGATAAAAGCAAAAAGGAAGGAATTCGAAGAAGAAGAAGCCATCGAAAGAAGGAAGATCTCTATCTTTCTTCTCTGTGCTTATAGCTTCGATCAAAGCTGAGTTGGCCTTTATAGGCTAAATTTCATGGCCGGACGTACAGACTAGTCACAATGTTAGTATTATATTCTGATTATAAAATTATTAAAGCCAGTTATTTATAACAGATCAACTAACTCATTTCATTTAGCTGGCCCTGGCCTCCGTATACGGAGGTTTCCAATGGAAAACAGCCAAATAGACCAAGAGAGACAAACAATCCTTTTCTTACAACCAAAGATCTATGAAGCCCCCTATGATTTCTTCTCTATGGGTCTTTGATATCTTGATTGGGATCAACGACCTCCAAAATTTCATTTTTATTAATGCAACAATGTAACATAAGCTCTGCATGACGATACTTCTTATATCTCATGTAGAGTATTAAATGATGGCGACCGAACTTCAATATTCTATATCAACACACACACAAACGCACACTCTTATATGTGTTGAATTTGTAAAATGTTTTATGTGAGAAGCAAAGAAAGACACTTGTCTAAGTGAATTAAGATGCTACAATAAGTAGGCAAATATATGATGTAGACGATAAATGTAATTTGAAATAAACCCTTCACATAAATATGACATATGAACACAAAATAAATGTAATCTTGTCAGTCACAAGCTATCTATTAACAAAAGACAAAATCTGATTCCAAGTTCAAAAGAATTATATTATTTGAAGGCATAACAAACAATCTAAAAGTCTATCAATATTAGTTATGAGAATTAAAAGTAATAACCTATAAGATTTTAGATTTATAACGCCTATTTTATCAAGTTATCCTGTATATGAAAAGTGTATGGACTTTTCAGATGTGTAACATATATAGTATTATGGGTCCTGCAATGGTTCATCGAGGAGTTCAGATTGCAAAACATGAATGACCCATAACTGTTCTGGGAAGAATGTCTCCTCAGCTGATGACATTCCTGTTGTTGTTTTAGATGATAGCCAAGATCCGTTTGCATTTGATGTGGATGAGTTTCGACCCTCCAACTCTAAGCGGGACCTAATGTAAGGAAACACAAACGTATACGAAATGAATCTAACAAACGTGAGCTTTTCAAAAAGAGAATTTGAAGATGGAACTGCTACAAGGTTAATTTCATTTCTAAAGTTATTGTGGATATTTTAAATTTTGGTGCTAATTTTGCAGCGGTTTGCTCGTCTTTAGAAACGAATTGTAGTGACAAATATAGCTGCAATTGTATAGACTAAAAGTAGAAGTGCATGTATACTAGACCAAATTAGATCAGTTAGGGGTGTTAATGCGACAAGACAGAATAAGAACAACCACATAATTTTTGCCAACGATAACAATTATATTATCTCTTCAAAAGTATCATATTCAGTTAAAAAGTCTTACAGTTCAAGTTCATATCTTTGGTAAACACATATATTTTATTGTGTCTTATTGTTAGAAGTAAGATTAATTAACTCTAAATGAAAATTATTATTGTTTTAATGAAAACTAAAGTAAATTCCTTTTTAAGGAAAAATATATTCTTTCATTCAAAATCTTTTGAAAAAAAAACTAATCTTTACAAATCATGAATCATTTTTTTCTTAATATCATGGTAAATCTTCTTTCAATACAATAGATATTATTATTAAAAAACTCAAAAGTTATTATAAATTAACCATTAGACATTAAGTAAATTATACTATTTTTACTCACTTATATCTTATATATATATATATATATTTTTAAAAATATCATCTGGCTTGTATAAATCATTACACATCCCTTATGAAAGGGGGGAAAAAAGTTGCATGATATTCATATCTTTCATTGAAACTTGACCAAATCAAAAGACTTTGGATGAGTTTAGAATAGTTTATAAACATTTTTTTTAGTTTTCCAATCACGATTTACGGAATACAACGTACAAGGTAAGTATATGAGAATAATTTTGTCTCACCTTATATGAAACGTGCTTATAAGTAATTTTAAACATAATAACAAATGGAACCTTTATCTATAACGACAAAAGTCTTCAAAGTCAACTTCACATTCAAATTTGCTTCACAAGGAAGTCATCAAGAATAAAGCCAGTCCTTTGTATCCCATACTTATATGTTTTGCCTTCAAATAATCTCTATAGTAATCCTAAGAATTATTTCAATACGCATGATTAAGTTTTAAAAAAAAACACCTATTTATTACAAATAACTAACCAAATTAAATTAGAGGTATTATCATCGTATGCCCTCACAAATCTTGTTCTTTATGTTGTTTTACTCTACTTTCATTCTTGTAGTTAGCACCTGTTGCACTTAATGAATGTTTTAGAAATTTAGTCACCATCTCATAAAAGCAATTCTCTCACTCCAACTTAAAAACAGCCAAATAAGCATGTGCATGACTAATTTTGTGGATTTGGTTGGTGAAACAATCCTTTTGAAACAGCATCTTTCCGATTCGATTTGAATAAAGAAAATGGAAAATGCATCTAAAAAGGGAGTAGGCCAGATTTAGTTCCCATTTTCTTTTCAAAAAATATTTTGAAGTAAAGAGGTGGCCACAAAAATATAGATATAGTGGGATAAACTGTGTTAGGTTTTCTCATTACACTTGTGAATGCATAGGAAGGCTCTTACAAGTGGACCACTAGTATAATTCGATATGAAACATCATACAAGTTACATTATCATATGGAATTTATATGTTTTCAAATTAAAGTTACTACGAAAAATATTCAAATGATAAATTAAATAATGATATCAGTAAATTGAAATGTTCATATGTAGAGGATACATGCACTCAACTACGCATATGATATTCAACCAACACAATTTATTCAAATTAAATGATTATTTGACATATTTCCTTTGAGTATGGTCTTAAATTCAAGTATTGCTTTTCATTAGAAAAACAAATTGCATATAGAACAACTACTCATAAAATATGTTTGCATTGACCCATATAATCTACTCCTCCGGTCCTAAATATAAGACCCTTATACACACTATTATAAAGGTCTTATATTTAAGACCGGAGGAGTAATAGCATAGCATGTATATCGGTAAGTACAGGTCTTTGGAAGATCCACACTCCAAACATTAGCCGTTGGAGTTGGAGAATTTAAAAGCCTTATACTTCTAATGTGGGACTCATAATGGTATCTAGATTAGTAGAATCCAATGGAATATCCAAAAATGATTTATCTATGACGAGGGGGAAGATAATTTGTACATATAATATTTAAGTCTCGAATTTTATCATTGCTCATTGGTCAAAAAAAAATTTGCATTGCTCCACTTGTGAGCCTTCCCATACGTTAAACGAAGATAATGGGAAAACCGGTACAATTCTTTTCCCACTGTCTATATTTTTTGTCACAATTCCATTGGTTCACATCTAATTTCTTCCATCGTCCCACTATCAATAAGGATTTGGATACGCTTATCAGTTGAATTATTCAATTGCCCGAATAATAAGAGAAATATAAATAATGGTGGGTTTTAGGTACACATGCATGTTCCAGTTTATTTATTTATTTCTCCTCTTATTTGAGACTAACTGAAGAAATCCAAATCCGTGCAACTATCATATAATATATATATATATATATATATATTTATATATTTATAGTTACCTTTTTTGATTGCACAAAAGAAGATGCAGAGTTAATGATTGACCTAGCTCATCTGGGAAAGACTCATTCCGTCCATGTTTGGCTACACAGTTTTGAGGATCAAAAGTGCTTTTCTGTAAACCCAGTTTTGATTCAATGTTTGTTTGGTTAGTCATAAGAGGTGGTGAAGGGACGAGAGGAGCAATGAGTAATTGGCCACTTGTGCGCGTTTAACATGAAAAGATGATTAAGAGATTCAGTATCCAAATAATACGAATGTCATTTTGTATTTATACATAATTCAGAATTAAAACTATAAAAAATAAAAAAAGCAATAAAAAGTTGCTCTACATTTGAAGCTGCTCTTGAGGTTGATGTGTTTTTATGTTAAAAAAAAAAGAAAGTACTCGGAACATCTCTTTTTTGTTTGATGCTCTT